TGTTTTTGACTGTACTGAAAGCTGAGTCTTACATTTGCTAGATACAGGCCCTTGTACTTGAACCAGACCTCCAGCCTCCTTTTTGCTCTAGTTCTTTTTCAGATAACATCTCTAGCTCCTTTTCCCCCTGTAGGCTAGTGTCAAGCCATGGATTCCCCACCCCAGCATCCCCCATATGGCTGGATTACAGGAATATACCCACACGTGCCCAGCCAAAAATTCTGTCATACATTTTGACAAGCCTGAGAGATTCACCTTAATCGAAGTGCAAATTCCCTGAGAATAGCTGGAAACAACAGAGAAGCTGAACTCTGAACTCGTTCAGAAAAAGGTAAGGAAAATCCCATAAACAATGCACTCACGATTACCTGTAATCCTAGCTACTCAGGAGGCTGAGATTTAAGTATCACAGCCCAAAGCCAGCCCAGGTAGGAAAGTCTGTTAAGCACACTCGCACACATGCACACACACGCACTCACACACACACACACACACACACACACACACACACACACCTACACACACACACAAAACAACAACGGGAAATAAAGCTGTTGCTCAAGTGGCAGAGCACTAGCCTGGAGTAAAAAAATCTCAGGGACAGCGCCCAGGCCCTGAGTTCAAGCCCTAGGACTAACATTAAAAAAGAAAAGAAAAATTCGTTAAAGACCATGAAACTGAAACACATCTGGGTAGGGTTTCCATAGTGGCGCATATAACAATTAGAGGAGGAGTTTCAATGACAAATCTTGAATAGCCTTCCCTACTTCTTTCTCATAGAAAACATATTGTCTTTTATTTTAGCTAGTATATACATATATATGTATTTATATACATATATTTATTTATATACATATATATTTTATTTATGTGTATATATATATATATATATATAAAATGTCGACTGTGGGGCTCAAACTCTGGCCTGGGCACTATCTCTGAGCCCTTCAGCTCAAGGCTAATGTTCTACCACTTTGAGCTACAATGCCACTTCCTGTTTTCTGTTGGTTAATTGGAGATAAGAATCTCATAGACTCCTCAGATCTCAGCCTCCTGAGTAGCTAGGATGACAGTCATGAGCCACCAGCATTCAGCTTAGAATATTTTTTTTTAAACAGAATTGAGATCAGTCATCCAGTTGGAGACATGGGACAATCTAAGATAATACCTGTAGCTAGCTGAATCTCCCTAAATTGACTTAGGACTCAAGAATGAGAATCGATTTGACTTTACCTTAGACTCCAGTATCTAGTACAAGATCTAAAGTATAAGGTACACATATGAAGAAAGGTCTAGCCAACAAATTGTGATCCCCCAGATGTTGCCAAGAAAAATGGCTGAGTTTTCCCTCCAGCAGCGGTTCCGGACTTGCCTGGTGGCCTCCTTCTGGGAGTGGTCACCTTGCTAAACATGCTGGTCAGCTAGAAAGATGCACTAGCACACATCATAGCTTAGTACGCCTTGCTATTGAAATCGTTCAGCAAGGCCTCTGTCCCCTCTCACCTAGCTCCTTCTTTGCAGTATTGCACACTGATTTCCGCAGTGTTCTTTTGCCGGAAGTGTTGTTTTTTTCCCCTCTGGAAATGGAATAAGAAAAACCCTTGTAAGATCCTTAGCTGCTAGCTCCCTGACTAGTTACACAGGAAGCTGAGATTTGAGGACTTAATCAAAGCTAGCTCAGGCAGAAAAGTCTGTGCGAGTCTTATCTCCAAATTAATCAGAAAAAGTCAGAAGCTGAGGTGTGACATGGTAGAAAACCAGCCTTGAGTTTAAAAAAAAAATCACCAAGAGTATAAGGACCTGAGTTCAAGACCCATTACAGAAAAAAGAAAAAAGGAAGGAAGGAAGGAAGGAGGGAAGGAAAGGAAGGGAAGGGAAGGGAAGAAGGAAAGAAGGAAAAGGAAGGAAGGGGAGAGAGAGAGAGAGAGAGAGATCACTGTGATGGTACTTTGTGATCATATTTCTTTTCTTTTTCTTTTCTTCTTCTTTTTTTTTTTGCCAGTCCTAGGGCTTGAACTCTGGGCCTGGGTGCTATCCCTGGGCTACATTTGCTCAAGGCTTTTATCACATGAGCCACAGCACCACTTCTGGCTTTTTCTGTGATTAGCTGGAGATAAGAGTCTCACAGACTTTCCTGCCCAGGCTGGCTTCGAGCTGCAATCCTCAGATCTCAGCCTCCTAGTAGCTATGGTGACAGGCATGAGCCACTGGCACCTGGCTCTCCCTCTTCTATTTCTTATGATGTCCAATCCAGTCCCCAGGGGAAAAGGTTGTCTTAGACCTCAGTACTTGTGAAATTCTACTTCTCAGTAAATAACACATTTTAATCTTAGGTGCAGTAGGGATTTTGGATCCGTCTTTCTGCTTGAAGTTGAGAATCAAATCCATAGTCCACCTACAGAAATTTGTAGGACTCGTTGACACACAGGCCTGTACCTTTCCCCTAGATTCATCTTTCTGTTCTTCCCTTTCGTCTGACCTTCTTTCCTCCCCTCAATTCTAATCTCCCTCCTTTTCTATCAGATAATTTGTATTTTTAGTTGCCTTTTAGAGAGGAAGAGGGTTTAAAAAAAATAAAGCAACAAGCCAAAAAGCAAATATACTCTCATCCATTCCAAGCCTTGGCTATTTCTAACCACATCACTTGCCTATAGGACAGGAAATAAAAGGCAGCACCACTGTTGCAGCTGGAGTTGCAGGGCAGGAGGAGATGACCATTCCCAGACTGCCTCAGGGCCACAGGCCCCTTTCCACTTCCTGCCCACTAGCTATAAGATACATGATCAACCAAGAGCATGGGCAGGTGTGACATCACCACTAAGAGTCCTGATTCCGGAGTCAGATCCCTCGAGTTCCAATCCTACCTGTTCTACCGCTCCCATCACCCAGCTGCTGACTTAAGATAAAAAAAAAAAAAAGAAAGAAAGAAAAACATAACCTTTCTTGGTCTTGTCTTGTTTTCCCTCCTGTGCAAATGGGAACAAAAAAATATGTTACTGGCCTCCAACAGTTTTTGAGAGGAATGAACCAGTTAAAGTCTGTAAAAGTGACGAGGCCAATGCCCAGGACACAGTAAGTACATGTGGACCAGTAAGTACCGTAACAGGACACTTCTGTTTTGGACATTTCTGTTTTCAAGCAAGCCAACACAATTTCAAGTCTGGGTGACACCAATAATAATCCCCGTAAGTCACTTAAATCAACCATAAATCAGTTTCTTGGGTTTTTTTGTTTTGTTGTCGTTTTGTTTTATTTTGTTTTAGTTGTGCTGAGGATCAAACTAAAGGCCTCGCCCATGAGCACTCTACTGCTGAGCTACATCTCTAACCCTCAACAGACTGATTTCTGCGGTAGCCTTATTTATGTTTGGGTCTCCTTTATAAACTAGCATGGAGTCCAAATCAAAGAGCAGAAATGTTTTCACCACGTGTTTCCTGACTTGCTAGAGAGAAGAGAAAGCAGTGAGGTGAGACAACAAAAATAGTTTTAGGGAATGTACCCCAAACAGCTAATAGAGAATTCTTAAGCCACACCTAAGGGCACAGGGGTACACACATTCCCATCCACCTGACTCCCTGTCCCTCTAGATGGAACACAAACTTCACTTAATGTGTCTGAAAATAACCTCATGAACAGATTCTTGGGACATTTTTTTTCTTTTTAGTGACTGTACTTGGGCTTGAGCTCAGGGCTGGGCACTGTCCTTAGCTTTTATCACTCAAGGCTGGAACTCTATGACTTGAGCCATAGCCCCATTTCTGGCTTCTTGTTGTTCATTGGAGATAAGAATTTCAAGGACTTTCCTGCTTAGAACCTCAATCCTCAAATCTCAGCCTCGGGAACAGCTAAGATTACAGGACAAACTACCAACACCCAGCATCTTGGACCATTCTTCAAAGTAAAAGACTCCAGTATCTACCAAAGAACGACGGGGCTCTCCGTGGAGCACTGGAGGTCCTCATTTACATCTGAGTGTGGAAAGCTGCCACCTCCTCTGTGTGCATTTGAACTGCGATCTTCCCTCCTCCGCTCAAAGCGGAGCTGGTGTCGGCAACTCAGCCTACCAAAGACTGAAGTCCCCGGTGAACAATGATGGCCCCTGTGGGGCCGGCACATTATCTTCCAGTACAAGGACCCAGCACTGGGGAGAAAAGCTGGAAAATTCGGAAAGCCGGGGTGCTGGACAAGGCGTCCAATTCTCCAGCCCGAGAAAAACTGGCCACCGACGCAGGCTCGCCTCTTGCCACGCAATCACCTTCTCCAGGTCGACGTGGATGAACTAAGTTCCAGCCTCGGCAGGATCAAAACCCACACCCCAGGACGCTCACGAACGCCAACCTCGCGGTTCCCCCATCGAGCCCCCCACACACAGGCATGCCTGGCATCGCGGCCACGAATCCAAACAGCACCGATCGGGCCAAGGAGGACCGCAGGGAGGACGTATCCCCTCCCCTCCCCAAAGCTTAGCAGAGATCGGTCACCCAGGACCGGAGACAGAGAGTGTGAGCCTTGCACACCAGTGCCGCCCGGCCCCGCCCCGCCCGGCCCCGCCCCGCCAGGCCCCTCCCCGGCCCGCCAGGCCCCGCCCCGCCCGGCCCCGCCCCGCCAGGCTCCGCCCCCAGGCCCCGCCCCGCCCCGCCGCGCACTTCCCGTCCGCGCTGGCCGGTCGAGAACTCTCTTAACTTGACAGTGACACACCGAGCGAAGAGGAAGTGGCCAGAGCCCGGGTCCCGACCTAGCTGGGTGGCTCGGCTTCTTCGTCTGGTCAAGACGGGTCCGTGCCCTGCGGGGCCGGAGGGGTTCGGCCGCTGGCCAGCACGCCACCCGGTAGCAAAGGTTGCACCGGGCGACGGGGCACCCGCGCGGGTCCGGGCAGCCAGTCCTTCCACGCCGCGCCTCACGCTAGAGAAGCGCACCCGCCATCGCACCCGTCCACCGCCGATCGCGCCCGGAGCCCAGCCCGGGGCCGGCGCCCCGCAGCGGCCGGCGCCCTCGCCTACCTGGTTTGACTGGTTTGGGAGGCGGCTTCGACATCGCGCTTCCTGGAGGCCGCGCACCGGGAAAATAAAGAGATAAGAAAGGATCGCCCCTCTCGGGAAGCTGGAGCCCCAGCAGCTCCCCCAGATCGCTCCTTCTCCGGTGCTCGGCCGGGCGCCTCCCTGACCCGCGCCCACTCTCACCGCCGAGCCGTGCGGACGCAGGCAAAGCGGCTCCGCCCAGGGCCCGGCTCCGCCCAGGGCCGGCTCCGCCCAGGGCCCGGCCCCGCCCAGGGCCCCGCCCCGCCCGAGCCGCCCCGGTGCGCGCGCCCCGCAGACCAGGAAGTGGCCGCCTCCTCGCCGAGCGCTAATTGGTTTCCCGGCTGGAGGGGGCGTGGCCGAGCGCCAGGCCGCGGAACCAATCCGTGCTCCGCGTGGGCGCCTCCGCCCAGGCTGAGAGGCTGATCGGCCTGCGCGCTCCTGACGCGTCAAGGCCGGAGCTGGGCTGGCGGGGCGCGCGCACGCGCGCGCACGCGTAGAACCCCGTTGGCCCGAGCCACGCCCCCACCGCGGTAGGCTGGCTCCCCGGGTCTCCCCGGGTCCCCGTGGGAAGGCGCCTCCTCCAGGCGGCCACCCCCTTACCTGCACGGACGTGGGGGGCGGGGAGCAGGGGCCGGGACTGTGGGCCTCTCGGGTCACCCGCGGCCCTGGAGCAGCGCGGCGGCGGCGGGCCCGCGCTCGGCCAGCTCAGCGCCTTTGCAGGGAAGGACTCGAACCGGCGTCCGGTGAGTACCTCCGGCCGGACTCCGCCGCTCCGGGCCGCCGCGATGGGACCCGGACGTATTATTCTCCAGAAGGTTTTAGCTTGCATCTAGAAAGCCCTGTTGGAGGGACTCCCCCCCCACACACACACACCGACCCCTTTCCACCCACTCTGCCCCGGGCCTCCTCCCCTGGGACCTGAGGCGCGGCCTGCCCGGTCGAGAGGTCAGCAGGTGCGTCCCCGGGAGGGGTCAGCAGGTGGCATCCCCCGGAGGGGTCAGCAGGCTGGGATCCACGGGAGGGGTCAGCAGGTGGCGTCCCCGGGAGGGGTCAGCAGGTGGCGTCCCCGGGAGGGGTCAGCAGGTGGCGTCCCCGGGAGGGGTCAGCAGGCTGGCATCCCCGGGAGGGGTCAGCAGATGGCATTCTCGGGAGGGGTCAGCAGGTGGCGTCCCCGGGAGGGGTCAGCAGGTGCGTCCCCGGGAGGGGTCAGCAGGCTGTCATCCCCGGGAGGGGTCAGCAGGTGGCGTCCCCGGGAGGGGTCAGCAGGTGGCGTCCCCGGGAGGGGTCAGCAGGTGGCGTCCCCGGGAGGGGTCAGCAGGTGGCGTCCCCGGGAGGGGTCAGCAGGTGGCATCCCCGGGAGGGGTCAGCAGGCTGGTATCCCCGGAAGGGGTCAGCAGGTGCGTCCCCGGGAGGGGTCAGCAGGTGGCATCCCCGGGAGGGGTCAGCAGGTGGCGTCCCTGGAAGGGGTCAGCAGGTGGCATCCCTGGGAGGGGTCAGCAGGTGGCATCCATGGGAGGGGTCAGCAGGTGGCATCCCCGGGAGGGGTCAGCAGGTGGCATTCCGGAGAGGGGTCAGCAGGTGGCATTCCGGAGAGGGGTCAGCAGGTGGCATTCTCGGGAGGGGTCAGCAGGTTGCATCCCCTGAAGGGGTCAGCAGGTGGTGTCCCTGGAAGGGGTCAGCAGTCTGGCATCCCCGGGAGGGGTCAGCAGGTGGCATCCTCGGGAGGGGTCAGCAGGTGGCATCCCAGGAGGGGTCAGCAGGCTGGCATTTCCGGAAGGGGTCAGCAGGTGGCATCCCAGGGATGGGTCAGCAGGCCGCCAACCTCGCCCGCCTAATGCTCCTTCTCCGATTCTTCATTTTGCATCAGGGGAGAAAGCAGGGGACTCGTGTTTTGAGACACGCGCGAGCTGTGTGCCGTGCAGAAACCGGTGTCGGTGCACGGAGCTGCGTCCCGAGGGGGGCTGTGATTCCTCTCTGGGTGTATCTGAGGCTGTTTTCTGGTTGCATGGGAGCTGCCTGGCTGCCTGGGAAGCAGAATGAGTCTGGCCCTTCTAGGTGGGCTTGGCGCAGGTTTGCCCAGCTGGGATCTAACGATGTGAATCTGGAGCCCGGAGAAAGGCGCTGTGCGTAACCTGGAAATATCATGAGCCAGACTTGTCTATATAAGGGAAAGAAAGCACAATGGACATGAAAGGACTGTGTGCATCAGAACCTGCAGTAAAAGGAAGCTTCGAAGGCCCTGGGTTGTTTTAAAACAAAATGATTCTAATGGAGAGGACAAGGGTTAGGTTTTCAGACTTGGATGGGTTCTGTGTTTACCAAAAGGGACCAAAGGTTAAAAAAAAATGTAGGGGAGACACTGCCCAATTTTGTCAGAATAATGAGAAAAACAATTTGATCAGTGAGCAGTCCTACAAACATTTTACTCTGTTAAAAACAGACGTGTTGAGCCAGGAGAATTCAATCCCAATATTCAATGCATATGCTGTGAAACTAGGAAAACTGAGGGGAGAGTTGGATTGGGAAAGATAAGGAGAATGGTGGAAGGGGTGACATTGATCAAGAGGCATTGTACTTATAAACTGATCTGTTAAACAGCAACCCCTTGTACAACCATTTGAAGATAATAAAAATATAATATAGAAAAGAAAAATTCAGAGTTCAAGCCCCACGACCGACACACACACACAAAAAAAGAAAAATGGTAGAAAGACAGATAGATCAGACATCAGACTGCCCTGTAGACTTATTTGAAAAACCATCAATTGTTTGCAGTTATCATCTTTCAGTGAATTTCTCTGTTACAGTCTGTAGATGCATCATGCGACCACCCCCCCCCCCCCCAGAACCCTCTGTAGCCCAGAACCCAAAATGCACCATGTTTAGTAATGTAATGGATTAGACGTAAAACAAAGTATAGAAGCCGGGCACCGATGGTTCACGCCTGTAATCCTAGCTACTCAGGAAGCTGAGATGTGCTGATCACAGTTCAAAGCCAGCCCGCACAGAAACATCGCTGTGAGACTCTTATCTCCATTAACCACTCAAAACTGGAAGTGGTGCTGTGGCTCAAGTGGTAGAGCACTAGCCTTGAGCATCAAGAGACTCCGGGACAGCGCCCAGGCCCTGAGGTCAAGCCCCACAATCTACTCACACACACACACACACACACACACACACACACTATCACAAAATAGAAATGACTCAGGATTTGCTCTTGGCTATGCCAGTCCATTAATAAATGATCTCTGAGGTTGACGAACACTTGGCCTACATGGAGGGGGAATAAATTGTAAATATCCTATGAGATGGGAGGGAGACATCTGACATAATGTTCGCATGAAGCCGCATATGTTTATAGTGGTGCACATAGACAATCTCAGCCAACAGGTGGTTGAAGCAAAAAGAGTTTTAGAAAGTCCTGGTCATAGGCTGCCCTACGTTGATTACATTTGAAAATTCAAGAAGTTTTTTCTCGGGATTCATCATATGTTTTACACTTTGTAATTGATCAGACGTGTTTACTTCATGAGATGTGCTGCTGCATCTCTTTGCAGCTTAACAACCCTTGACTGAAACTCTTCCATTTTGGTTTTTGAATAGTTTTTGTTGTTGGTAGTTTTTTTGTTTTGTTTTGTTTGTCAGTCGTGTGGGCCTGGGCGCTGTCCCTGAGCTCTTCAGCTCAAGGCCAGCACTCTACTGCTTGAGCCACAGTTTTCTAGTGGTTTATTGGAGATAAGAGTCTCACAGACTTTCCTGCCCAGACTGGCTTTGAACCTTGATCCCTAGATCTCAGCCTCCTGAGTAGCTAGGATTATAGGCATGAGCCACCAGTGCCCAGCGATTGTTGTTGTTTTTATTGTTTTGTTTTTGTGCCAGTACTGGGGCTTAGACACTCCCTTATTTTTTGTTACTCAAGGCTGGTTCTTGAGCCACAACTCCAGTTTTGGTTTTTAGGTGGTTAATTAGGGAAAAAAAGACCCTCCCAGACTTTTCTGCTCCATCTAGCTTTGAACCGAAGTTCCCAGATCTTAGGCTCCTGAGTAAGATTATAGACATGAGGCAAAGGCACCAGCTGGTTTTTTAAAATAGTTTTTAAAGGGAGAAAGAGTCAAAGAAATAAATAGTGTGTGCTGGGGAGGTAGACTGCCAGGTCTGCACACGGACTTCTTGTGTGTCTGCCTTGTGCATTCAGTACTGTTTCAGGACTTGCTAGGCCCCTGCCCAGCCCATCTACTCACTCAGCCGGCCTTCTTTCTGCCCTTCCCTATCCTTTCCGTATTGTCCTGTGCCCACCGCCAAGGTGGTATGCCCAACGTCTACCCAAACTGTGCCCAGAACGAGCTCAGACTGTGTTACCTGATGTAGAGCTAATGGAACAGGTTTTGATTTTTGGAACAGATAGAGGAAGGAAAAGAGGGGAGGGAAGGAAAACAGAAAAATACTTGCAGTTGAAGATAGGACATCCCTCCCTTTTGATCTGAGGAATTTTCTAAATAAGTTCTTGACTTCCGCTTATTCTGAATTGCTAAGGGTTTCCACCCAGGTAAACCCTGGTTGTATTTGTAGTGCCGCATCCATACTCTTCTTTTTAACCCTCTGACTCATTGATGAGTCCTCTCGTGTGTACGCACAGACGTGGTAGTTACAACAGGGGACCAGGAGCCCTTCCAGTGCTCACAGCCGATGTATGCCTCCTCAGTAATGCAGCAGGAATCGGCAGCCAGCCAGCAGAGCCTGACAGTTGCGTCAGTACACGTGCAAGGTCCATTCTGTGCTCCTGGGAATGACGCGCGTCATAGCCGCAGGAAGCGATGGAAGGCTGTCCACTCGGTTGATTTTTGTTTCACTTCTGGCTTTCCCTGTGGCTGGCTGGATCGTCACTCCTTCCAGTCTGGGTTGATTTCTAGTGCCCAGCGAAGGGGAAGGTGAAGCGATCGCTAAGGCTGTCGCCTGTGCTTCAACAAACAGTACGTGAAAGGGGGCCACGTGGGTCAGCTTGCCGTCAGTGGGACAAACCATCTGGGAACGTGAAGGAAGATTTCTCTCCACGCACGCTTTCAGCCAGGGTCACGCGGTTGTTTCTGTGGTGTGTGTCAAGGAGCAAAGCTACTAACATCATAAAGACCAGATGAGAGAGGGAAGGGGCAAAGACAGAATATATTTTGTAAGGGCACTGTTGTCACCCCATTCATCCAATAGACCCCCACATTCCAACATGGCCATCCCCGCCCTATAACACCTCCCTCTGGGGGGGCGGGGGGGGGGGGGGGGGGGGGGGGGGGGGAGGGGGGGGAGGGGGTTCACCTCCCAAAGAATGACGACAAGTGCTTTGAGTTGTGTTATGCTAAGGTGACCTGACACTGTAATTTCTTCAGAGAGAGGGAAATTTCATTCATCACCAAAAAAAGAGTGATACCATCTCAAGACAAATGCTAGCTTTGCAATGATGTATCAAAAAATAAGAGGCTGGGCACTGGTGGCTCACGCCTGGAATCCTAGCTACTTAGGAGGCTGAGATCTGAGGATCCACTTCGAAGCCAGCCCAGACAAGGAAAGTCTTCAAAACTCTTATCTACTCAGCAAAGGCCAAAAGCAGCGCTGTGGTTCAAATGGTAGAGCACTAGCCTTGAGCAAAAGATGCTCACCGACAGAGCTCAGACCCCAAGACCGACAAGTTTTTTTTTTTTAAAAAAGGGGGGCTGTTAGCTTCTCTTTGCCTCTGTCCAGCAGTGATTTTCTTCTTCTTTCACTAAAAGAGGGAGAGAAGCTACCCAAGAAAAATCTCCGCCTTGGGGTGGTGAATCAGGGGTCAGAAGAGGGAGGTTAAACTCTGAGGACCTTCCTGTGGCCTGATAACCCCACATCCCTAGAAGTGGTATTCTTCGGTCAACACTCAGCCCCGAGGACTCTCGGGGTTTCCTGGACATTGGTGGACAGCTGCTCAGCAAGCCAGCTCGAGGCCCTTTACACCAGCAAGTCAGCAGGAACTTCTCCCCAGAGCCTGGTGGTGCATGGCTTGGGCAACCCCACCCTGGCCGTCACCCCTCGCTCTCCTTCCTTCCCTCCCTCCCTCCCTCTCCCAGCTGGTTCTTCTCACTCAAGACTCTGGTCTCTGCAAACATCTAAATGCAATGCACTGATTTGTGTTGATTTCAGGAAAGGTGCAGAAGACACGATCTTCAAAGCTAATCATGAAAACGTTTATCGTTGGAATCAGTGGGTGAGTAATTTTGCCACAGTCTGTGCCGACGGTGTTTGCATGTGAATGCGGTGAGAGAACAGGGAAAAGAGAGGGCCGGGCAAGGCGCTGCCACGGAAGCAAATGCCAATGCGGAAACACGGGAAGAAGGGTCAGTCGGCCATGTTTGGCCTGATTTTCCATTTCTTCCCTGTAGCTAACAGAAGAGACAAGGCCTGATAGACAAGTACTTGGACACAGGCACACAGGCACTTTTGTACTGTGGACTCTTGGTGTCCAGCCCAGTGAGGACAAAAAATTAAGCCGTTAATAGGCTACGCTGGACCTCCCACCATGCCCATCCCCCCCCCCCCCCAGGTGCCGAGAGAGGAGGGCTGGAGGCATCAGGTGACCTGTGTTGTGTTTCTGGTAGACTCTGGGCTTGGACATTGCCACGCCTCTTAGTGTTTACACTGTGCATTCAAGTGATCACGGGGATCACAAGCAATTGTGCATATGTGCATGTGTACCATCCATACTCCATGTGTCATATTAGACACACTGAACCCTGAGATTCGTTTTTATCACAAACAAAAAATGACTTTGTCTCAACAGAATGTCTGTCTTTCCCAGAACTTAGCTTCCTTTCTCCCTCGTTCCCAGCTCATTTCTTACCATTTAGTATGGTACATCTGCCAGACTCTGTGGTTTTGCCAACAGCAAAAGCTATTCCTATGAAGGAATCTGTATTTCTCAAGTAGTTAATATTGTTTGAAATATCCTTTCTAAAAAGATGATGATGATGATGATGACGATGATGTGTGTGTGTGTGAGAGAGAGACAGAGAGACAGAGACAGAGAGTGTGAGTGAGGGAACCCTGGACTTGAACTCAGGGCCTGGGTGCTGTCTTTGGGCTTTTTTGCTCAATGTTAGCATTCTACCACTTGAGCCACAGCTCCTCTTCTGGCAGTTTGGTAGTTAATTGGAGATAAGCGTCTCACAGGCTTTCCTGCCCAACCTAGCTTCAAACTGTGATCCTCAGATCTCAGCCTCCTGAGTAGCTAGAATTACAGGCATGAGCCACCAGTGCCCAGCAAAAGATTGCTTTTAAATGTTCGGTGTGTAATGCCTTCTCCTCCTTGGAACTTTGTGTTTTTTCCTGGGTTCAGTGTGACAAATGGTGGGAAGACAACACTGGCTAAGAACTTGCAGAAACACCTGCCAAACTGCAGCATCATATCTCAAGATGACTTCTTCAAGGTAACCGCAAAACTTAAATGACGTATTTGACAAAAATGCTTCATGTAGCTGCGTACAGTGGCTCACTCCTATATCCCAGTCTTCAAGTGGCTGAACCAGAGATGTTCACAAATTACTGGCTAACTTGGGCTTCATAGGGAGATGCTGTCTCAAAAATAAGAACTCTGTGTGTGTGTCTGTGTGTGTGTGTGTGTGTCTGTGTGTCTGTCATGAGGCTTGAACTCAGGGCCTGGGTACTGTCCCTGAGCTCTTTTGTTCAAAGCTAGCACTCTTATCACTTGGAGCCATAGCTCCACTTCTGGTTTTCTCGAAATTAATTGGAGATAAGAGTCTCATGGATCTTCCTGCCCAGGCTGGCTTTGAGCTTTGAGCTTCCTGCCCAGCTTCCTGAGCTGCTAGGATTATAGAGGTGAGCCAGTGGCACCTGGCTTTAAAAATAAGAAAGTTTGATGACAATTTAATTATATCCAACATGCCTTTACTGACTGGTAACTTTTGTACAAAATATAGACTCCATGCAATAATGTTACGTGTCCACCAGATGGCACCATCTGTTGGTGCTGATCTTAGTATCTTAGTATCACCAGAAGCATTTAAGACATCTCTTTATTATATAATTGTATTATTTCTGCCCTACACACTATTTTGATGGGTATTTTATTATTTTTCTAGCCAGAATCTGAGATAGAGACAGATAAAAATGGTTTTTTGCAGTATGATGGTAAGTAGATTAACTTATAAACCATTATATGCTTACGTTCACTTTCTCTTTCAAACCCAAAGAAATTCATTCTCTGTGAAGACACTCTTAGATTGGCTTACCTATATTGCTGTACCTTAAACAAGTCATTATAGGTTTCTGACTTACCTTCGTCTATTTAAATAAGTAAAATCTGTTCTCCAGGTTTGTATTTCCAACTGGAAACATGGATGATAGCGTTTCCTCCTCTGCTCATCCCTGGCTCCTGGCAGCCAGCCTCGCCTGGAGGAGACTACATTTCCATGCTCTCAGTTTTCCTTCCTGTTATTCAGAGAACCAAGGAGCTTGTGTGTATTGGTTGGTTTCCTCTGTTTCTCAGAAAGCCCTGTTCTTTCTTTATTTTTATTTTAAAGATGGATATATGTCATTCCTTGGGCAAGATAACACTGTTTTGAATCTAAGCATTTAGGTCCATCAGAAAACATGTCTTGGAAGTGGTGCTGTGGCTCAAGTGCTTGCCTTGAGCTGAAGAGCTGAGGGACAGTGCCCAGGCCCAAAGTTCAAGCCCCATGACTGACCAAAAAGAGAAGAAAAGAAAATATGTCTTTTCCTTCAGAGACTGTTGTAATAACCTATTATATTTAGTGATCTTATTAACTTTTTTTTTTTTGCCAATCCTGAGGCTTGAACTCAGGGCCTGGGCACTGTCCCTGAGCCTCTTCCTGTTCAAGGCTAGCGCTGTACCACTTGAGCCACAGCACCACATCCAGCTTTTTCTGAGTAGTTTATTGGAGATAAGAGTCTCATGGACTTTTCTGCCTAGGCTGGCTTCAAACCGCAATCCTCACCTCTCAGCTTCCTGAGTAGCTAGGATTACGAATGTGAACCACCAGCACCTGGTATCTTACTAACTTTTATAAGTAGCTAGGATTACGGATGTGAACCACCAGCACCTGGAGGCTAGCAACCGTTACTACAGCCAGGAGCACAGAGTTTTATTCTTTTCTTCCATTCATCAAGAACTTAATGATACTGACTTTTTAGAGCTCAAGCCTTGAGCAAAAAGTTCAAAGACAGTGCCCAGGTCCTGAGTTCAAGCCCCAGAACCCACACAGATACAGACAAAAAGTATTATGATATGGAATTGCTTTAAAATAACTGAGAAGGAAGTGGATGAGGGTACAGATGAGCTATAATTGGCCAATAGCTCATCATTTTTATTTTTGAAGCTGAGGGATAAACTCCTGGAAGTTCACCATGCCTTTCTGCCTACTTTTATATGTATTTGAAAATTTCCATAAGAAAATTTCCGTAATTTGTTGTAAAGAAGGAAATGTTTTTATTAATATCTTTAAAGTATCGCTTAAAGCCAGGCATCGGTAATCACACCTATAGTTCTAGCTACTCAGGAGGTTGAGCCACAGCTCCGTTTTTCATATGTTTTTATTCAGAGATAATAGCATCATGGACTTTGCTGCTCCAGCTGTTTGCAAAGTGCGATCCCCAGATCTCAGCCTCCTGAGTCGCTGAGATTACAGGTGTGAGCCGCCAGAACCAGGCCCATCATTGTCTTTTATCAAAAGCAACATCTTTAAACATTCCATGGACCAAAAGATTACTCACAGTACAATTTAGAAAAAAAATTTTATCTAAAGAGAGTCAAAAATTTTCAAAACTGGGCTGGGAAGGTGGCTCAGTGGTAGAACGCTTGCCTTGCATGCTCCAGGCCCTGGGTTCGATTCCTCAGCACCACATAAGCAAAAAGAAAAAAGCCGGAAGTGGTGCTGTGGCTCAAGTGGTAGAGTGCTAGCCTTGAGCTGAAGAGCTGAGGGACAGCGCCCAGGCCCAGAGTTCAGGCCCCTTGACCGGACTCAAAAAAAAAAAATTTTTTTCAAAACTAGCCTAGGAAGGCTCAGTGGTAGAGTGCTTGCCTAGCATGCATGAAGCCCTGAGTTCGATTCCTCAGTACCATATACACAGAAAAGGCCAGAAGTGGCGCTGTGGCTCAAGTGGTAGAGTGCTAGCCTTGAGCAAAAGAAGCTCAGGGACAGTGCCTAAGCCCTGAGTTCAAGCCCCAGGACTGGCAAAAAAAAAAAAATTTTTTTTCAAAAATTCATTTGGTTCCAGCCAAAATGAAGAACCCAGTTTCTTTCTGGTCCTCACTTTACCCCTGAACACAGTACATTAAACAGAGGAAAGCTGAGGGATGAAAAGAAGACAGTGAGCAGGACGGAAGGAACGACACGGGTGTTGGGCCCTTGGGTTTCCTTGTTGCCTCTCATCCCCAGGGTTGGTGCAAAGGAAGCGTGCAGCATAGAGCCACTATAGACATAGACAGAGAAAAGAAAGTGCCAAAAACCTGTTCCTGTACCCAAAGGACCAGCAAAAGAGTGGCCGAGCAGAATAGAAAGTCCTCAAGATGATGCCCATCGGACTCAGCTGACCACAGAAAGAACATCAGGCTCCCTCCTGGTGTTGGCAGGGCCAAGCGAGGTGTCTAGAGCCCCCTGGCCCAGCAAGGTTGACGGGTTGATCTCCACATCAGAGACGGGGCATCCAAACGCACTGCACCAGGCAGCAGAGAGGCAGAATGGAGCGATGCTGGGGGGGAGGCGGGGCCGCAGGGAGACGCCTTTCCCACCCAGTCATCAGGACCCAGTGCCAGGCTGCGCATTGGCCTCCCTTTCACCAGTGAACCAGCACTCTATTGAATCATTCTCCTCCCCCTAGACACCCCCCCCCCCACACCACCACCATCTAATATGATCAGGAAGCCGAACACTTCCATCTGAGCCTGTGCATTACACCTCAGCAGGAGTGGCATCTAGCAAAGGCGGGCTTGACTTCAAGACAGTGAACGCTAGAAGCAGGAACACGTGCTCTGCACTCTACATTTATACATTTGGAGTTCTTTCCTAATAAAAACCAGACGTGTAAGTTTGTCAGTGCTAAGAGCTTGAAGGGAAAATAGAATGGGGCTATTCGTACACTTAAAGAGCCCCATGATCACAAAAAGCTCACGCAAGTTTCTCGTCTTGTATGTTTGTCTTAGTACTCGAAGCGCTCGATATGGACAAAATGATGTCAGCCATCTCCTGCTGGATGACAGGCTCAGCACACACAGAGGGACCAACGGTCCAGGAAAGGGCTGAAGAAAATGCCATCTTAATCATCGAAGGTTTCCTGATCTTTAATTATAAGTAAGTGTCTCCATGCTAATACTGACCTGAGCAAGTGGGAAGAGCATTATGAACTAAATACGCTTTTCTCTTAGGCCATTCGACACCATATGGAATAGAAGCTATTTTCTGACCGTTCCGTATGAAGAATGCAAGAGGAGGCGGAGGCAAGTGTTGAAAGTACTTTTGTGTATCAGAATCACATTGTGGTGGTCATTTAACAAACAAAGGAAGTTTAAACTTGCACAGAAGCAAAATGGGTTTTTTTGTGCCTGGTGCACCTGTAATTCTAGCTACTCAGGAGGCTGAGCTCTAAGGATCACTGTTTGAAGCCAGCCTAGGCAAGAAAAGCCCGTGAAACTCTTATCTCCAACAAACTACTCAGAAAAAAAGCTGGAAGTGGCACTGTGGCTCAAGTGGTAAAGCACCAGCCTTGAGCACAAAGAGGTTCATGGATAGCGCCCTGAGTTCAAGCCTCAGGACTGGCAAAAATTTTCTTTTTCTTGTATATCATAATTCACATGGAATAATTTGAGCGCAGTACTTCTCTAAGAAAAGGCCTGGGTCAACCTTTTCAACTGATTTCTACTAAGTCTTCAAAGGGGCCAGTCCCATCGTGGTTGTAGTTTGAAGTTAGTGAAACTATGTTCTACTACAGCTACAAAGAACCTCGGTTTATCTAGAACTCCATCCAACCTATCAATATCTCATTACTTACACTGATACTCATCTCCTACTCCTTTTATAAAGCACTAGAAGAAAAAAAATAACATTGAGTGGTGGTATGTAAAATTAATGTTTAGATTGGAGAAATACATTTTACTGTCTTTCTAACTCACATTATTTCTAAAACAAGTTAGTCTAAAATCCTGTTGAGATCTAATCTCAGTGATTTTCCCCGGTATGCTACCTTCTATCATTGTATTTTGCTAATTGTGTATTTCTATCAACATGCGATTTTCTGTGTGCTTCAACAGTACAAGGGTCTACGACCCTCCAGATGTCCCAGGGTACTTTGATGGCCACGTGTGGCCCATGTACCTGAAGCACAGAGGGGAAATGGAGGACATCACGTGGGAAATTGGTAGGTACCTGTTCGCCCTTCATTTAAGGCCCTTGATTGGTCATTTGCCTCAAAGGACTGGGGAATTTTTTTTTCTTCCGTCCAAAACCTATAAAAGATGCTTCCAGCAGGAACTCTGTGCGTTTCCCTCCTCCACAGCATGTTCTGTTCCTTTCCGTTTCTCTCTGTAACCCCTGTCAAAAGTTCACCAACTCGTGGATAGTTATTCATGCATCCACCGTCCACCAAAGGCCTTCTGTGGATGTAGCAGGTGGAAGGCGAGCCTGGTCTATTCTCCTGCAGCTAATTTTCCACAAGGGAACGACACCAAAGATGCCAACGCACCCTCTGGTCTTCTGCTTGGACATCACACTCTAGGGGCCACTGACCAAATCCCACTCGACTAGTTTAGGAAGGCTTCCTGGAGAAAGCCACTTTTAAACCAAACTTTGATGAGTTTAACTGGACAAAAGAGCCGGGGGTTTTACAAAGAGAAAGCACAAGGAAAGGCCTGGAAGGCCTTCATAGGACCTGAAAGAAAGCTAGCTTGTTTGTGGTAGAGGAAACCCAAGGAGAGAGTTGATGCTGTTAACACACTACCTGGCCCATATACCCAATAAAGGTTAGGGTCATTAACCCAAGAAAAAGATGAGGAGCTTTCTACAGCCAGGTTAGCAAGGATAGATTGACAAACGTTTTTGAGTAAGATCCCCTGGCTGTGTGGAAGATAGATTTACATGGCTCCAGACATGTTAGGGACACCTGTACTTCATTAGAACTGTGTGAGGAAGTAGATGTGGAGCATCTTGGGAAATGAGGTGGCAGATACCCAAGGAACGACCAGGTGTTATTTTAGAAACCAAAAAGTGAAAGAGAGCTGGGAAGTATGGTCCCAGAGGAAGGGGTCCAGCCATGAGCCATTTCTCCTTTTTTCTCCAAAACAGCCTCTATCAGTTTTATTTTCAGGGCATTTCTTCGGGCCTGGAGAATTGTAACCTAATAGGTAAGTGGCAGGACCCAGACCAATGCCTGGAGAAACTTCCAGGTCTTTGCAGGGTCGGAGTTGGAGGATTGCGAAATTTCCTTAAGTGGCTCTTTGGAGCCTGCACCCCTTCAGTCTCCTGTGCACATGCAATTTCTCTTTCCTTTCTCTTTTATTTAAATGATTTGCAAAGGAGCGCCTAGATTGTTTTTTCTGTAACAAACCAAAGTTCTTGCTTGAGTATACCTAGCTTAGATCCGTGTCTTCCTTTAGTTGCTTTTTATCCTTTTTGATGATATCAGGTGTCAGCGCAAGCCTGTTGACATTGAACTGCTGCTTTTCTCTTCTTAGTTTACTTAGATGGAACAAAATCTGAAGAGGACCTTTTTACCCAAGTGTATGAAGATCTAATGAAAGAACTAGCAACGCAGAAAGGTAAGCATTGCCCTTTCAAAGTCAATGCTGTAGGAGGAAAAGCCAGAGAAAGCGTTATTACAGACCCAAGAATAGCATGCCAGGGTGCTGGGGAGTGTTCATTCGTTGTGTCCATTCATTCATTCTTTCATTGCTTTGAGGATAGTTTAGACTCAGTGATTCCACGTGCATTTGGAAGAGTTGATTATTTTGATTTCAGAACTTGTCTTAAGGGGTGGAACTTTTACCCTTTGTTACATATCTTCGTGATATTTATTTATATCATTTAGATTAAAATTCTAATAGATGGCTGGTCGAGTAGGCCTGACATTATCCATTTGGGTAATTTTCCTTCATTCCCTTAAATATTTTCCTTAAGATTTCTACTTGGCAAATACTTCCAAACACAAGATTTTAGAAATTACGTGAGTCTTCTTTAAGGTTTTTCGTATTAGAGAGCTCTTCACAAGAGTTTCAACTCCTCCTGCTCCTGCTCCTCCTCCTCTTCCTCCTCCTCCGCTGCCTCCACCTCCTCAGCCAGGCTATAAAAGGAATGCGCAGAGGTGGCAGTGGCTTCAGGCTGGATTCAGGAGTTTAAATGCCGTCTTTGAGGCTCTGCTGCAGTTCCGAGTTCATTCTGAAGCCCATCCACTCAACAGCTGGGAAAAATCTGGCCTCGGCACCTTTCTCCTAGTCCCTCAGCCCATGTGAAAAGACTGCTTATCCTTTTTCAGGCTTGTCCCTGAGTAGCTCTGTGTTGAAGCTGAGTCCCTAGCCCAGGAAGGTTTATCTTATTTTCACTACTTCCTATGGATACAAATATTTACCTCGCACTCCATTAACTTAGCCTCTAAAATGCTTTGAACAGTCTTTTGTTTATTTTCATGGTGCTGAAGGTCAGACTCAGGGCCTCATGTATGCTAAGCACAACTGCCATCACTGAGCCCTAACTTCCATTTTTAGTTCAGTTAAAAAAAAAAAAACCCAGATTTTGATTTGTTCTGTTCAGTCACCTGACTTGCTAAACCTACTATGGCTGGGGAAATAGCGCCTTCTTGTGGCTATTTCTAAATCATACACCCATCTTGTCATGGAAGACACCCCCCCACCTAACACCTCCTGATTTTAAAAAGCAATCCTTAAAAGAGGAAGCTGGGCAAAAGGTAGAAATTCGAAGATGAACAAAAGCACGCTGAGGGAACCAAACTCCAGTGGGGCTACCTTGGAGCTGAGTGAGTTAAAATGATTCCCAGGCTGACGGCCATGGTGCATGCCTCTCGATGCAGCTCTGGGAGACTGAGGCAGGTTGATCTCTAATTTGAAGCCAGTCTGGACTAAGGAGTGAGAACCTGTCTCAAAAAAAAAAAGATTCCTGTGACTTCCAAGCAAAATGTAATCACCAACGGGCTCAAAGGAGACAAGAGGACAATACGAGTTACTTCAGCAGTGAAAGTTTTTTGGTGAGAAGCAACTGCACTAGTCCAGACGTCATCTGTCAACAAGAACAAAATGACCTACATCTTCAGTGAGTTCCTTTCTGACCAGGAGAGCTGAGCCATGCTGGACAGTCCATTGATTCTCAACGCCCCTGATTTCAGTACCAGCCTTTCACAGAGTCATGAAGCCCTTTGGGAAAAAAAAAATTATAGCCATTTTACCCTGGTGATAATTAATAAACCTTGCCTGAGATGTCTGCCCACCGCCACCATCTGTTACCTGAATGGAAGGCAGCCCTTCGGGAATGGGGGGGGAGGGGGAGACTGACAAGGGGAAGGGGCGGGCCCAGGGCTCTGATTTCATGACTGACAGCCCCTGACCCCCAGCCACATATGCAAGAGCCATCAGCTCCTTTCTCGCCCCAGTGAGAAGCTTCCGTGGTGTTTCACCTGCTGGACACTGTACCTCAGCGCTCAGGTTCAGTGCTTCATAACAGTAGAGTTTAGTGCTATGACTGACTTACTGGTAAAGGTAACAAGAACCTTGGTCATCTAGCACAGGCAAATAATGCTTTTAGGGTCTGTTCCAAGGCCCAAGAACTGGTGGTACAAGCCCCCAAAGTGCGGTTCTGGGTATGTGATGCCTCTCCTTTTTTCTTACCTGTATCTTTGAGTGAGCTAAGAAATACTCAGCTCTGCTATTTAAAACTATCCGGTTCTAGATAGTGGGTAGAGACAAAAAAGAAAAAGAAAGAAAGAAAAGAGGAAGAAGTAGCACCAGGAGAAGAACTTGAAATTGGGAGCAGCTATGCTTGTACAAGATGGACAGGAGTTTCTCCGTCGCATAAATAATTCACTGCGATCTTAGTAACCTGTCACCTTTCCTGTTCTTCCAGCCACAGGAATCTAGCAAAGCTGGCCACAGGATCCTCAACCCTCAGCAGAGCCTGATTTAACCCTGGACCAAGTTAGCTCCAGTGGCCTTTCCAGGGTTTCAAGTGATGACTCTTCAGATTTCTGTCATCTCATAGAGCAGCTTGGCTTACAGGCTAACTTTTCATCCCAAATACATCACATTGGTTTAGGAGTATGGCTCAAGTGGTAAAGCTCCTGCCTAGCAAGAACAATGGCCCTGAGTTCAAACCCTAACACCACCAAAAAAATAAAATTGAAAAAATAACACATCAATAATCATAATTAGTATTATAAATATACATAACTATATTGTCATCATGATTATAAAGTAATAATAGTGAAAGTGAAATAAGGAAAATCATATTCAATTATTAACAAAACAATAACCCAGAAGTAAAAGGCTACAGAGCTGCACATTTAATTCAGTCCTAATTTAAATCTAAAGTTTAAGGCAAAATGTAATCATAACCTATTCTCAAAATAACAAAGCAGTCTAGAGTCTAGCCAGTAGGAAGGCTCCTTTTAAAATGGTTCGTTTTCATCCCATTACAAAATTGCTAGTTATAGAAGTTCTAATATAAATGTGAAAAAGAGGAAATAATCCACCTGAGTTCTCATCAGTGACATTTGGTAAGATCAGTGGCTAATCGGCCATGCTTATTTCTATTTTTAATTAGTATTTAATATTTGTGCAGCCTTACAGAATTTATTATATAATGAAACTGCAGTGTCACTTCCAGTAGAAGGTTCGAGGCTGTCTTGTACACAGAAGTGAAATCTAAGACTTGACATTGATATTGTAATGTGCAAGAAAGGTGTCACTTATCAAGTATGAAATCAAAAAAGAAGAAAAGGTAAAATAAAAATTGAATGATCAATGGTTTATAGTTTTCTCTATTAGTACTTTTTGCATTGAACTTTAAATATTTTTAGTTTACTCAAGTACCATAATACTAGAATAGTCATAGTCGCATAAGATTTTTTAACTAGTTCCCAATCGTTGAATATTTAGTGTTGTTACAAGTATCTTCCATTGACAAATACCTTTAGTAAAGATGAGCTCAAACCAGTATCACCAAAATAAATTTTAATGATTATTTCTTTTTCTGTTTATTCTTAAGGTTTACAAGAAACAGCATGAAAATGAATGTAATCAATCCTTTCTGGGGTGAATTAGAAACTCAAAGGACTATATTTCTGAACCTTAATCAAGATACAGTCTGTACTATGGTACAGTGACAGCTGGTGTGTGTGTGTGTGTGTGTGTGTGTGTGTGTGTGTGTGTGTGTGTGTGTGTGTGTGTGTGTTCCTGCACACGCTTACTCACACATAGGTTTTCCAGCATGTTGAACAGCAAGCATCTATCCCAATGGATAGACAGGGCAGAGCTCAGGAATGCTGAGTCAATGCCCTGTACCAGTGATTGTCAAAGTTTTGTGACTGCAATCTAGAAAAGAAATAAGTATATTTCACAATCCAGCACAGATGTAAGCCATGTGTGTGTTTATGTGTATGTGTGTATAGTTGTATACCCAGGTGTGTACAACATATGTGTATGTATACACACACATCAGGAACTGCAAGACATTAATTATATATTACGTACTGATTTTCTTCTAGTTTTAATTTTTTTTAATTAATTAGTGCCTCTCACCAAATGCAGTAATAGCATTGCCAGGAATAGTAGTCACACTGACTAAATCAACAATTCACTATAGTACATGTAGTTTTTGTTTTGTTATGGTAGAGTAATTGTTTCATTTGTCCATTGTATCTCTTATGTTGAGACTTTGCTACAAATAGAAAGGGTTGGTGATGTTTCTGTGATTGTGTGTTGGGGTTTTTTGTTTGTTTGTTCTGTGAGATCAGTGGTCTAACACAACAGAAGCAAGCAGTTATTTCACTTACATGTAATACCAGGGGCCTTCCTTTGGAAAGATTAGGAAATATAGACTTGAAATTTCTTGATGCCTCTTTCAATGCTGAAATGTAAATTATGTGTTGATCAACCTTTTGTATATTGGAAATAAATAGATTACTTGCAATTGTAAAATAATTTCTCTTTATTTGTTTCTAACTAATGCTTGTTGATAATCAGGGAGTTCTTTCATTGCTACACAAACCTAAGGCAAAAACAAAAACCCAGGCTTTGAATTACAGTTTATCCACTTAACAGCCATCTGACTTTGATCAAGCTAGTTTATCTTGATTTTCAATTATGGTTGGCTAAGTGTATCAAGTCTGAGGTCCTTCACGTGGCTTCCTTAGCTTTCTTTGTCCTACTACCACGCACCTCTGCCATCATTTCCCATCAGAGTTGGGACACCTGGTCACATTATGACTCACCTGTTGCCTTGGAGTATTGCCACAGGGCAAAATGAAGGAAAAGAGAGAAAAGCAAATGGGAGAGAAAAAGAGGAAAGCACTTACCATTCATTGTCTGCCATAGCGCTTTTCTGTGTATTCTGACTAACCATAATTGTATCACACTCAGGTTGTGGTGAGGTAAAGTATCAGTGTTTTTAGCATAAAAAAATGTGATGTACAAGTAATTGTTCAAACTTCATTTCTCAGGATCGCAAAGTGCCCTCCTCCCCTCTGCATAGGGCTACTGATGGATCTTCAGCTGAGCACCATTGGATTCACTTTTCTCCTTGTTGCAGCCTGGGAAAACAAAAAAGTGGGAGCAACAGGCATTGAAATGGAAACATTCTAAGGGGTTAGGAAAGATGTATCTTTTTTGTTTCCTGTTATCAGTGAGAAGTACATCAGAAGTTTGAAAAAAAATGTCAGTGTTTCACAGAAGAAGGACGCTATGGAAGCAGCCAGTGGTGATACAGAACCTATTTAGACAAATGAGTCAGTATTTAACAAGGAGTAGTCTTTACTTCTCCATCCCTTTTCAGATGATTTTGCTGCAGGAAGGCTTCTTAGGTAGGTTCTTAGAATTAAACCCAGGAGGGAAACATTTAAAAGCAAGCACACCTAGTAGGCTGAAGGCTGAGATTCAAGCGCACTGCCCCATTACATTCATGGATGAGATTCAAGACCACCAGTTTGTCTTTTAAGGATAAACTGGCGATACTGCATAGAGCCATAAAACGTTGGAGCAGTATCAACTGCTTCAGTGCTGTTCTAAGTGTAGAAATGGAAACCAGAGCCGGTGACCCGTCCAGCACCATCCAGCTCGCTTAGTGCTGGGATCGGGGCCAGGACACAATCTCACCATCGGGTTGAGAGGCATACATTTTTCATTTTAGAGCAAAGAAGAGTAGAAAAGTAGAGTGCTGGGATACATCATCTCCCCCTCCCTCCTCCTCTGACGGTTGCAAATCGAGAAGCCTAGAAAGGCAAGAGCTGTGTCAGGAGAAAGCAAGGCGTTCTCGCTCGTGATTCTCAGGGCTGAGGGAGGCAAGCCAAAGCCTTAGGTGAGCTGCAGGCCAAGCAGCTGTGGGACAACTCCATGGCCCATCCGGGCTGTGCTGACCTTAGGTCTGCGGCTCCTGATTTTCCTTCAGTCCTCCATGAGTAGAGGAGAGCTCAGACAAAAGTCAAGATGTGGAAAGGGCAAGAGAGACAGCACTCTTCCCTTCTGCATGCACACGGAAGAAGATGGGAATTGTATTAGCTCTTTTGGGATTCTAATCAAGATGACAAGACCTGTGACAAGAGGATATAAAACTTCTTTTAAAAAACTATGAGTCTAGAAATAAGTCATTAGTGCAAAAATAGAGACCGATGTTGAAAATGAACTGTACACATTTTCTGTACTCAGAAATATTGTGTTCTTTTTCAAAATGTTTTGGGCTTTCTTGCAATATTTTTTAAAATAAAATCTATTTGTCAGCCTTTCTATTATTAATAAAAACATTAAAAAAAAAGAAAATGAACTATACAACTCATGGCGGGGGGAGCGGGAGGGGGGACGGGGGAGGGGACCGCAGAGGGATCAGGAAGGAAAAACCACGGAGAAAAGAGGGGAGAGATGACACTGTTCAAAAAGTACCACCACCACCACCCCCTAAAAAAGAGACTTGCCCAACGTGTGGCTCAAGTGGGAATTTGCCTAGCAAGCTAAGGCCCTGAGTTCAAACTCCTCTACTGCCCCTCCAAATCTTAGAAACATGATTGCACCTATAATACGTTAAAATGAGGAGCCTGTCGTATTGGATCAGGATGTGTTGGAGTGAGGTCCTTGGACCAAGCAGAGGCCAGGGGGGTGTAGCAGAGTCTAGGGGTTACAGCTAGATGCCTAGGGGTGCTAAGGGAGGTGGAGCTGTCAGACACAGGATGAGGCAAAGAGAGGCCTCCCCAGAATGGGGAGCGTGAATCTGCTATGAGCCACCGAATTATGGTCACCAGATACAGCAGCCATAGGCAAAGAGCCTTTTCTTACCCACTAGTGCCCCTTGGCTGTGATTTCTCTTTCTGAAGTTTCAGATACAGATGGTTAGGCAGACTCCAAAGACACTAAATGTACGATTCCAGAGATGAAACAATTCATTTTTCCACGTGTGTGTGTGTGTGTGTGTGTGTGTGTGTGTGTGTGTGTTTGAACTTAGGGTCTCAGCCCTGTCCCTAAATGTTTTTGCTCAACACTAGCACTTTCCTACTTCAGGCACAGCTCAACTTCTGGCTTTGGGGTAGATCGTTGGAGTTAAGAATCTTGAATACTTCACTGCCAAGGCTGGCTTCCAATCTCGCTCCTCTGATCTCAGCCTCCTGAGATCAATGAAGGTTACAGACAAGAGCCACCAGCACCCAGCCATATTCCTTAAAATAGAGACTACAACTCACATCAAGAAGAAATTCTTACTGATTTTCCCCTTCAAGCTTTGAGTGGTCATACGAGAGTTTCAATTCCACGTGTCTTGAGTACACTGCCTCTTGCTCAAGGTTAGGCTTTCTATCATCCCCCACCTCTCCCAACCCTATCCATCTCCTGGCTCCATTTTCACACGTATGTGAAAATGCAATCAGGTTAATTTTTAAATTTGATTTCCTTTTTCTTTTGCTGTAATATTGAGATTGAATCAGGGCCTCACACAGGCCCGTGCTGTACTACTTGAACCACACCTCCAGTCCTGAAACAGAATTTACCATCTATTAATCTGAAGGTTATATGCAAGGTCTCAAAGGCTCCATAAGGAAATAATCTAACAAAATAATGCCTTAAAATAATGCACAGTACTTAAATCCTCTATCAGTTGCCAAGTCACTTAAGTTTCTTTTTTTTTTTTTTTTGGTCGGTCATGGGGCTTGAACTCTGGGCCTAGGCGCTGTGCCTCAGCTCCTCAGCTCAAGGCAAGCACTCTATCACTTGAGCTACAGCACCACTTCCGGTTTTCTAGTGGTTTACTGGACATAGGAGTCTCACTGTCTTTCCTGCCTGGGCTGGCTTTGAACCACGATCCTCAGATCTCAGCCTCCTGAGTAGCTAGGATTACAGGCATGAGCCACCGGTGCCCAGCTTAAATTTCTGTATTGACTCAGCTCAAATACAGATTACAACTACCAGGATTTTTTATTTTTAATCAGAGAGCTAAGTAAAACTTGTTAAGATTTCTTAATGGTCATATGTTACAGTTTTAGACAAAGAAATATTGTTACATATTTATCAACTATACTTCCCCCACATAATATAAAGTTCAATAATTTTGTTAAGTGTTTTAAGTTGAAGTTATTTCATGTTGTTTCCTGGATACCATATACAGGAAGTATGTTTGGACAAGATAGAAATGTTTTAAGTATCAAAGGTAATCTAGTCTAGGAAAATAGTAAGTGTTGGCTTTTCTGATACTATAATAGCCTTATAGGTTGTATTTTAAGTGTATCTACTTCTCAAGTAAACATCTTAGATTTTTTTCCCATATTTTTCTAATACAGATCTCAAATTGATTAATATTCTACTTCATCTGATAATGTATTCTATCCTTATATCTTTAAAACCTAGTTACATGGAGAAACTGATAGCCTGTTTCTCAAGCTCAGCATTCAATGGCGATTGAATATGGATAACTCATTGTGAGTACTGCCTATCCATGGAAGAATATATATTAACATCACGGCTCTCCCACCAACCAACCCGAGCCAGCTGGCCCTCCTCCTCCCCTTTAGTAGTGAGAGCTAAAAATGGGTTCAGAAGACAAAAATCACCACCACTACTGATAAGGATACAAAGTAAACTTGTCCAGTAGAGATGCAAGTGATCTGGAGGAAAGACCATCCTAGATGTTACCATTCATCAGACTATACATTAACCAATTTTGTATTAAATTAACCATCTGATGGAAGCATTCTTTTTCAGTTGCCATAAATGCTTTCCTGCCTCTGAATCTCTCTGAACCAGTCTTACCATCTTGTCAGTTCCCTCATTAACATATTAAATACATCTTTGAGACATGCTTCACTTTGTATTTGTATGAGTCATATTTTAACATAAAAAATAATTTTGACAGTACTTTATTTCCCTGACTTTATTTAATCCTTATAACAACTATATAATTATGACATGTTAGGTGATAAAATCACCACCCAAAGTTATACCTTTGTTGGAGCTAAGTCTGGAATTCAAGTTTTTATGGCTCAGAGAGCTCTCATCTACCATGCTATACTATAATGAGACAAGACTCTAAACTCTGTGGCTCAGCGTGTCACTTTGGCTTACAACTACCTTGCAATTATACGTCCACTATTGTTGGCCATTCTATTTGTATACTACAAAGGAGCTCCAGAGTTCAAAATGTAAGAATCATTCAGAGAACTTTCCTAGGTAGAGAACCAGTGAGGGAAGCTTTGGCATAGTCTAAGCTTATTTCATTATAATATCACAGACTCAATTTGGTGGGACCATTGGCATGTATTTTGGATAATCTTAGGGTTTATTATTGCTTTGGGTGAATTGCAAATACATGGTAAAGTAATGTTTATTTCTTGCACCTTTATGACAATCCACAGCCAAAACTATTTGAGTTCCAAGAGCAATTCAGAAGTTTGACCAGGAGAGTGGCTCAAGAGGTAGAATTCCTGCACAGCAAGCGTGAGGCCCTGAGTTCAAACCCAGTACCACC